AGGCCAGGTAACTGCAAGTCTGCACAAAACTTCACTCAATCCATATATATATCTAGCTTAAATAATCAGCTTCAATTCAAGTATTTGTTATAGGGAGAATCAAATAGAAAACAAATAAGTAGCTCATCAATTTATGGGGCAAACTATCTTGTTGAATGCTTTGCAATTAGTGATATCCATAATTTGCACATTGTTCCCATTGATAGCAATGTCAAGTTGCGTTTTATGTTCTCCGCTTTGCAGTTTCTTTTGTTTGCTTTTCTGCTTCTTTTTGTTTTGTTAGTCGCTGAACTTTGCCAGAAAGAAACACCAGGATGAACGACAACAATTGGGAGATAGTGATTGGGGCCTTGTCGGGTATGCTCGACTAGAAGTTGCGCCCTACTGAGTTATGTCTGAGTTTATGCATTGCCAAACAATGCATCAATCAGTAGTTCCTTCTGTCAATCTGATTTACATATTATCTGAGAGCTATCTGAAATTGATTGCCTGATTGATGATTGACTGTGGATTGACACAGTGACTAAATGAAGCCATGGCTGAAGGTTGGTTGAAGGATGGATAAGAACTAGCTGAAGTTGCTGAATACATAGAGACGAAGGACAAATCTTATTTATTTGACAGTCGACTATGAAGCGCTTTCTAAGATCCATGTAAGTTAGATCTATGTCTTGCTCCGATTTGTTCCCTTAGGCCTTTTGATTAAAATAAAACAAAAGTCATATTACATAGCGTATTCTACACCCATTGAAAACTCCTTGTCCCTGCTTGCTTATAGGGTATGGAAGCAGCGCAGCAGATGCCAGAGTTCTTTGCTGCTGGCGATAAAATGCCACAATTATAATTCATGGAACTAATAATTTCTCAAAACAAGCCATAAGACAACAACAAAGGGATGGATGGGGCGGGGCGGGCGACGCTCCGATATCAGCGCTGCTTCACTGATAAGCCAATAACAACAAAGAGGGCAAATACAATTTAGATCAGCATTGTTTCAAGGGTTGCTCTTTCGCTTGTTGTGTTTCGACATTTGCGAAAAAGTTCCCCTGGCTAACAGAAAAAGTAGAAAAACGCAAATGATTTGGTCACGCGAATAATTTATTATGCGACCTGTGCCGCCATCTCGTGACGACGACGACGGCGGATGCGTCCAAGTGGATAGATAGATATAACAGAGTAGACAGAGAGACACCCACACACACACACAGACGCACAGACACACACACTAATATGGCCATACCCACTTCTCAGCCGCTGAGTTGCTGTTCGCTGCGTCATCCTCAACTTGTTGTTGTCGCTTGTTTTCATTCATACGATACGAGCGGCGCGTACTATGAGCGCTACAACTGGCACAGCGTACTATGAGATACAAGCACTATGGGATACTAAATGCCAGAGTCGTGCGACTGTGTGCATTCATTATCTATGCCAGAGCAGGGTTGGGGGTGTGGGTGGACGGGTGGGGCTTTGGCGGGGGAGGGGGCTGTGTGTTATGCCCTCCCACATTTTTCTTAATGAATGAATTGAAGATAATTAATTCGCTGCCGCTGCCGACTGCATTTTGTGATAGCTGAAGGGGAGGAGGCTTGGGGCAGGGGCTGGGGTCGGAGCCGGGGTTGGGGTAGGGGCAGGTGGTATGACTGCCTGTCTCTTTCAATTGAGAGTGGTGGCGGAAGGCAGCGGGGGCGTGGCACAGTCGTGTGCAGTTGGCGTGACCATTGCAAAGTAGGCAGTAGGATGAGGATGGGAAGAGGTTGGGTGGTTCGTCTTAGTTAAGCCATTGTGGTCATGCAATCATCGCCTTTCGCCTTCGCCTTTCGCTTTTCGCTTTTCACGCAACTACAACAAAAATTTGCTTAAATTTTCATATAAATTCCACATTTTACGAGTCGCTCGTGTTGCCAATTAAGAAAGCCAGCACAAAATACCACATAGATCATATGCTCAACTATTCCACTCGATTGCGAGTACAGCTGTCTATATATCTATTATATATCTAAAGCACTTTGTCTTCGGCGTCGCATGATTCACTCGACGCGGCAATTAATCTCTTTGGCCATTAAAATGTTATTACTCAAAATGTCTTTGCGTGGAGAAGAGCGGAGCAGGTGTAGGTGTATGACTGTTCCAAATATTTCGTATTCGATTTTCTTATCGACATTCTATTATTTCTATTTAACTTATCATTGAAATTACCCAATATTTCAGACGCCTAATCAGCCACGGCACGTGTTTGCCCATGAATAATTATAAATATTGATAAGGGCTTCCCTTGAGGTCCGCTTATGACTAATAAAATAGGGCACTCAAAGTGTTTCTGGAAATGTTTGCGATACCAAAAAAAAAAAACAATGACAAATAAGTGCTTTAGATAAAATCCCATCGGGCTTACAATTCCACATATTCCCTGCCAAAAGAATCTCATATTTTATTCTTAGGCTAATTGGAATTTTATTGTATTGCATAGTCTCAGCAAACTGTTTGTCCAGGCAGATTGAAGAACGGGCAACATTAGTTGAAGGAAAGTTGTGGTATGTGGGTTCAAGGAAGATTGACTGATGAGCCTTTCAGCAAAAGTTATTGCATTTTTTTCGCCATAAATAATTGCTTTAAGCATTGGTGTTGAGTATGTGCGGATAGTTCATGAAGAGATTGTGACATTTAGAACAACAAAAAGATCTTCTGTTTCATTTCAAAATTCCGTCAGTTGACACGGTTTGTCTAATCAGGAACGTTCTTTCGACTCTAGTATGTGTAATGATGGAAATCGTTTTCTCCTCTATATAGAAATTCCATAAATTCCATGTAGATCTGTTCACACATATAATACAAATCCATTGAGAGTGCTCCAGTCGGGAGTGCTCGACTTGCATATACCATGAGCTCTGCGCAATGCTCATACGAACAGATAAAGAATATTTATTTTTGGCATGTGCCATGCCCTTTTTTTCCTTTTTTATAAAATATACGTTTGCTAGATTTCAAATTCCTTTTTCAATTATCATTACATTAAAGAGAGACACAGAGCTCATTTCTATTTGAATTAATGGATGTTTGCTATTTCAGCTCGGAGCCAAGCTTTATTTTGTAGCAAAGAACGACCTTTCATTGCGAGAAGTACGTATAAATAATTTAATTTCCTTTTTTATCAGTGAGCTGGTAAGTTATGTTATTTTTAGGCATTGACGCCAATTGCAATCTACGCCAGAGAGAAATAAATTTAAAAAAAAATACCCATATATATATATATATATATATATATATATATATATATATATAAATATATATATATAAATATATATATATATATATATATATATATATATATATATATATATATATAATTTTCTGTAGAATTTGTGAGCTTTGAACCGGATGAAGTCACCGCGAGGCTGAAAACAAAGTCAACAATTTTGTTGCATGCAGCGAGCTGAGATGATGACTCGACTCGAGTGTGGATGGGGCTGCTGGAATGAAATTGAAATTGGAATTGGAATTGGAATCGGAATCGGAATCGGAATCGGTATCGGAATCTGAATTGCATTCGGATTCTGAATAATAATGTCGTTAATGCTGACGTCAACGGCCCGTTTTGGCTGATAAAATCGCGCGAAAACTATTTTCAATGCAAATTGAATTTTTAGAATTCCCAAAGGCCAATGCAATTTAAGAGGCCCATTCAAGCAGGCATATGGTGATTCATATGCAATGACGAACTATGTGGTTATTAAGCGGAACCCGTATGGCTGGCTCTATACATAGAAATATACTGCATATGTATAAATACATAAAATGTATATTTACTTGGGTACAACGATAAGATCGATGGGAAATCCGCATTTGCGGGTTTAAACTAATGTTAAAATCAAGTCGTCCTGCTCTTTCAAATCAGCGCTGCTTTGATAAACTGTAAGTGTGTGAGTGTGTGTGTGTGCGTCTGTGCGTGTGTGTGTGTGGGGCGGAGGCCTCAACTGTGACGCCAATTGGAGTCTGGTCGCGATGTCTCCGTTTGTTTGTCGCAAATTCACAAATTGTTCTTTCATTCTTTGTCATTAAATGGTGACTGAGATAGAGACAGAAAGACAGCAAGAAAGAAAGAGAGTGAGAGAGAGAGAGAATGACCGCATCTGTCCAAAGCTTGGAATTTATGGGTGTCTCGCACTTTCGCTCTTACTCGCACACACACCCACACACACACACAGACTGATGTTCTAGCTCTTTCTTTCTCACGCCTTCTCACTTTGTCCGCCGTGCTTGGCGCTTTTTTATCTGCGCAAATATTTACGCTGAACTTTCGTGTCAATTGATGTCACATTCCTGTGTGTATGTGTGTGTGAAATTGTAAAGAAAAGTGTAGAATTTGTTTACCAACTGACCCAACACTAAATCAGCTGATAATTCAGACAGAGCGAAGCATTCGAATTGGAAATGGAGCTGTAGCTGCGGCTCAATGTGGGGCCACAGCAATTGAGTCCAATAGGAATGTGATGCAAGGCAACGGCGTCATCGTTCTCATCATCCCCATCATCATTCTCATCATCGTCATCATTAATATCATCATTTGCTTTTGGATGGGCTCTGAATGCCAATTGAGAATCTACGAGAATGGCTTTTCTCTCTCTTTATCCCTTGCTCTATATCTATGTGTGGGCAGCTTGCTTGAACTTGGCATCGAATTGGCTCAACTTTATTTCCGCCTTATATTTAGCCAATGACATTACCAAGATTCGCCACATAGTTGCAGCAGATGGAAATTTAGGACCATGGAGCAAATGAGTTAAACTTTTAGTTTTAATAGTTATTAATTTAATTTTAAAGAGAACAGGAAACAATATATGTGTGAATTTGATATTGAATTTTATTTCAATTAATTATATATTCGGCTGGTGCTTAGTTCGACTTTCAATCAAGCTTATCATCAATCCATCAATCTTGAATTATGCATCAATCTAGACTTGAACTGCCTTTGTCCATACAATATATGTATGATACGGTTCTAGTTTCGTTCAATTTTATGGGCTTGGTTCGACGGTAGTCCCGTTGTGTTATAAGTCACTGGGCTTATTTAAAATTTCTGTCAATAAAAATCGAAAAAAAAATGTTCTTGTTAGGGGGTTTAATCACTTACATCTTGCTTTTATACCCGTTAACATTGGCGAATCTGGGTAAGTCATAGCAAATAGCTAAATCTCAGGTATATATGTCTATATATGTATGTATGCAAATATAAAGTCTCTTTCGAACTCACAGAGCAATACATTTAATTAAAGTCAACCTCACATTTTGTTTCACTTTTTGTTTTAGAGAATTATCTCAGATCCATATGAAATATATAAATATAGAAATATATAATGATTATTGGATCGATTGCAATTGTAGAAATCATATTAAGTAGCTTGTCTAATTAAACTACCTTTCTTGACACTTCAAAGCTGATGATGATAAATTTAAAGTTGTGAGCGGGTTTAATGCCGAGCTGAAGGACGTGCCATATCAGGCCTCAGTGCGCTTAATCTGGCGGGAGAGAAAGCGATTGGGCAGTGGCCATTTTTGCGGTGGGACTGTCATTAGTAGTCGCGTGGTTGTCACAGCAGCTCATTGCCTATCGTAGTGGGTACAGCTTGGTGTTTTTTTTGTGCTGTTCTTACCATGTTTTTTGTGCAGTTCAATACGACCTAGTGACTTGGTGGTTGTATTGGGGAATAGATTGCTAAACGCCGTAAGTCCAACAATGCGTATGTTTCAGATCGTAGGATGGCGCATACATCAACAGTATTATAAGCATCACATCGATATTGCATTGATATTCACTTCACATGATATAAGACCCATTGCGGGGGCTATCGCGTTTCTGCCCCTTAATACGAGGGCAGTCCCCGAGGGTACCAGCTGCCTAGTGTCCGGCTGGGGTCGCACCGTTCACGTAAGCAAATTTATTATTTTATCCACTGTTGTTATAAGTGATCTATTAATTTTTACCACTTGTGTACTGATAAGAAGACTAATCGATTGCTGTTCCCTTAAGAATGTGTCAGGGCATACGAATGCTCTGCAAGCGGCATGGATACCAATTGGCAACCCAGAACATTGCACAGAGTTGTATAAAAGCACTGATGTAATTTGTGCCGGCTTTACGTCGATGGTTGGGTCCAGCTCCTGCAAGGGTGACTCAGGCGGCCCGTTGAGGTGCGACAATGAACTGGCGGGTATAGTCTCCAGGGGCATACATTGTGGTACGAGACATAGGCCAAGCGCGTATACAAGTATTCGGTATCATGCCAGATGGATACAACAACAGAGCCAATCTTTCAATGGAGTTTTGCCGCTCCGATCGACTTGCATCCAGGGGCAAGTGGGTCTCGCTTTCATCATCTATGTGACGACCAGATGAAGTTCTAAATAATTGTTTGACAGTATTTAAAGCCCTATTTTAAAAACTCATTTGACAGTAATATTGCAACTTTAATTTTTTTTAGGTAATTGTACGGCCAGAGTCAGAGCAGCGTGCTGCGTGGCAAAGTGTTGACAGACGACAGCTGCAAATGCAGCAAACAGCAACAGAAATAAGTCCATGGTAATAAATTGCATTTAAGCAAACATTAGTTAAATTAACTGTTAATTTCAATAATCGGCCACAAATTGAACTCATCGTCCATGAATCCATGAGCTGCGGGTGCTGGGGGCGGGGCAGAAGCGCATTAATGCGATTATTGTTGAAATGCCAAAATGGAAATTCTATTCGACGTAGAACAAGAAAAAATAGGAGTGAGCAGGTCGAGGCAGGAAACCCGAAACCGAAATGCGACTCATATCCATGTCCCGCATAAAACGACACTGCGAATTGCGGCTGCCATCAGTATAATCATAAGCATAGTCAATATCAGCATTGACATCAGCCAGAATGGACAACCGGAATCGATGTATTAAGTATTTGGCTTGCTTCCGAACCAAATTGCACCGGAATACTAATTTAAACACAGATACAAATTGGACGAAGCTGTCGCCTCTACTCAGAGAGTGTTGGCTAACGCAGCGGGCAGTCTCCGCAGGGAGGGGCAGACGGGGCGGGTTCTGCTAGTGAATTTTTGTTTGTCTCTCTCTCTCTCTCTCTCTCTGTGTGTTGAAAATTCGAAAATTACGTGACTGCATTCGCAAAAGAAAGGCGCAAAGAATTGTTGGAATGTAGAAATTGGGCTGCGACTGAGCTGAATTTTAAATGATGAGCGTCGACGCGACGTGTGGTAGGGGAATAGTCGAAATAAAAAGGGCGATTTATGGGCTATGGAGGGGAGAGGAGAGGAGGGGCGGGACTTGGCTAAAGAACTTTCGAGCCGCTCTAATTCAGACCGTGTACCCAAAGGGTGCACGCACGCAGGCCTTGACCGGCTCGACTCAGGGTCTGGGTCGGGTCGGGTCTCTCCCTGTCTTTCTCGGTTACGGGTCTGCAAGCCGTGTCTGTGTGTCCTGGCCAGCCGGCAGGCTCAAACTGTGCGGCAAACACACGAATATATATCAACAAACAACATTTGGGTAATAATGTTGTTAATTTTTTAAGTTGATAAGGCCAAAGGGTGTCCATACACTGAGCGAAAAGGTCAAACAATGTGGCAAAACCACTGTGGCAAGTATAATGTATTTGTCTGGCATTGTTGAACCATGTAAGTCTCCGCTTTATAGGCCTACTTTACAACAATATCTTATTACTATTACTCTGTTATTACAGCTAGCTATTTAAATCGGAATCAATCAGGCTGACTATAGATTTCCTCTATTTTCACATCATTCCTCTCTCCTTACTTGGAACCTATCCGTATCAAGGCTGATCTTAAGTTTTTATATGAAGGCGTTTTCCTTGCCTTGTCTGCTCTAATCTTCGCTTCTCTTCATTTGTGTTAAAGTTCTCTCCGAAAGCAAACATTTCTATCTATCTTTATACCTATTATATAATCAATCAGGCTGATCATATCTAGGCTTCTCGCCTCTTACCTTTTGCTCTTCCACCTTTCATCAGTTCTAACATTCCAATCTCTTCTTTCGTTTGAAATTCCTTTGCTTACTTTGAGTACTATTTTTCTCCCAGTGTATGCGGGACATATAACTCTTTACTTTTTGATGTACTGCGACAGTCTTTTTGTTGTTTTTGGTTTTTACACTTATTGTTTTTGGACGACTTTTCACGTTTTCTTGTATTTTCTATTCCGAGTTCAAACGCTTTGGAAATGCTCGTCATTTGCGTACAAATTGTTGACACTTTTTTCGTAAAGAAGTCGGGTATCAGAAACGTTCTCGTGCGTGCACTCCAAATGGGCCATGGTAGTGTTTCCATTTCCATTTCTATTTCTATTTCTATTTCCATTTCCATTTCTCTACCCATTTTCATTAACATTTCCATTTTCATTTTGCATGCCGGGGTGTCGAAACGCTGGACAGCCAAACAAACTGGCCAGAGCTTAATGGAGTTGTAATGAGTGTGAAAATTAATGTCGTCACATTACTCACGCACCCAAAATGCGACACCTTGTTGCAGGGGCGGGTAGTGTGGTCAAGGGGGCTGGGAAGGCGGGCAGCCAGACAGTCAGTCAGTTACAAACACAGGGTAGCTTCAGCTGGGCTGAATTTGAAGCAGCCGAAATCAATCGAGCGGCAGTAAAATAGGGGCAAAGGGTTAGAGCTCTCATCATTATTTGTTGCTTTTTCACTCGAGTAACTGAGTCATAATGTCGCAGTTCTAGATTAGATAGAGCTGTTCCAGATTATGGCATTGTAAAACTCTAATAAACAGTCATGCTGCTGCTGCTGCTGTGGGAGTTCCAAATGTTTGTTAAAAATGATTGTGCGATATATGTTTGATAAGGGATTAGCATGCGGAAGTTGTAAAAGAAGACGTTGAGTACGAGTAAAGTAAAAGTAACGTTTCCATATGTGCTTCTTATCAAAACTTATCAGTTGGGCGTGTCTACGCTCCGAAATGTAGAGATATCTTAGCTGAGTGAAGACGCGGCGCAGATAGGCTTGGGCTATAGAATGTGAAGGAAGTTGGGTTATGTAGATGGAATGGATGGGATGGAAAACGAGAACATATGTGGGATCCTCTAGCTGATATTTACTGTGTTTACTGTGCAAATTAAACTCAGTTAAACTTCTCAAAAAGCGCGTGAGTCTTATACTTCTTGCTTATAGATCTCAGTCACTTTATAAGTTTTTTCGTGTTTCAGCTGGGTTGGTTTTTGTGTGTTCTAGCGGCAATCATGTGCTCAAAATTCACGTCATATTCTTTCATATACTCGTTCACAAACAGAAAAGTGTATATTGGTTCTGAGCAATATTTGCCTTGCTGTCTGATCACTCGTTACGTTACTGCAGGCTTCCTCTGGAGACTTACCACAAATGAAAGAGTATTGTGCAGTCGATCAGGGCCGAGTGCAATATTCTGATTTGCTTTTGTTTTTGGTCGACTCGCAGCAAGTTTGATTTATGTGAAACGCGCATTTTCGCTGAAGCTTTTCAAACGAGACAGCCGCAGCGACAGTTGAGATACATAAATATTTGTATATATGACTTCGGGGGCTGTAAATCAGAGCTGGCGCACACAGTAGTCGCGGCAGTAGATGCAGATGAAGATACGAATACACCGGATAAACTATGTTCGGTTGGAGCTGCTTAATATTTGTGGTCGGGACGCAAGATCTGTAATGAGAGCTCCACAGCTAACAATTCATTAAAGAAACTATAAAAAAAACCTAAATAAAATGATTTTCAAATATTTACTAAGCTTCGAGCAGCGCTGGCTGGCTGAATCATTCGACAAAATTCTGCGAAAGCAACTTCAAGGTGTTTGCGTTGATTGTTTTGTTTGTGTCGCTGTTGAAGTTGTTGTTGCAGTAATTTGTCAGTGAGTGATTATTATAGTTGTTGCTGCTGTTGTAGTTGTTGCGATTTGAACTTTTTGATATGATGAAAATGGAAACGAGCCGCGAACCATTTTATAAATAAACTGCATGCCATGTTAAAAATAGAATTGCCAACATGAACAGCAACAACAATTGTTAAGCTTGTGGTTGTTGCTTTTACCTTTTCGCGTAATGAGTATTTCTGTATTTTTGTAATTTTTGCGCATATTTTCAACCCACACGCGACGCTCTCAAAAGTCAACGACGTCAACAAAATCATCATCAACAACAACTGCAGCAACAACATCATCATCGTCAACAACTCGATTCTCATTATGATGAAGAGTTGAAGCTCTGAGCACGCTTGAGATACTCTTAACTATTTTTATAGCCAGCCAATGGTGTTACCAATTGCCATTACTGTTGTTGTTATTGTTGTTGCATTTTGTGTGCTGCATTCGAAAATAGCTTTCAAGTTCGTAAACGTGGCTAAAAATAGTTGAAGACAATACGAAGCCCAACTGTTTATACATAATTGAAGAATAACAAAGTGCTGCTGCTGCTGTTGCTGTTGTTGTAGCCAGTTTCATATCTTTGGCACAATAACCTGATGTGACACGAGCCGAGCACCTGAAAAGAGTTGATATTCTATTTATAAATAGTTGAAGTTGAAGTTAAATCGAAATTTGAATTGCTAATTGACTGAAACATGCAGTTTATGAACTGATAGACGCGAGTTCATAAACAAGAACTGCTGCTCGAGCTTTCAATTTAGATATATCAATTTATTGTTGCCTATAAATATGTTTGCTTTTAATTGTTAATTGGATTGAAGGCATTTGAAGTAGTCTAAGCTGGTTTCTTTGTAGCCAAGTACTGCATTGCAAGCAGGCGGGAAGCAAGGTCACCCCACCAAAAAGGCTATAAGCTAAGATATTCTTGCGTTTATCTGACTGTTTGAGTTACTTCTGGCAGCATTAATTTATCAATTCCTCAAACAATCTTTAGCAAGAAGTCTCAGGCAAATGATACATTTGTGAGCTTAAGCAAGCGGACGACGAACTGAAGCATCAATTGTATCTTTTGCTTTGGACTTCTTGCTGAAGATTGTTTTAACGATAAGATTGAAAGATTTATAAGTCCAAAATATAAAACAAAATAAATTTGGAGAACTAAATGAAAATGCATAAGGAATGCAAATTGAAATGCATCAACAGTCGAGAGGATCAAAGAGGCAGGAAGCGAGTTCAAAGATCAGAGTAATGAGTGCTTTCAAGAAGCAGCAGTAAGTATTTCCCATAGAACTTTGACAGTTTGATTTCTGTCAGTCTTTATATTGAATTAATAAAAATAGTTCGTGGGCAACTAAAAAGTAGTCACATAAATTATAGTTTTTTTCTGCCTTTTCATTTGTTATTTATTTATTTTTGCTTCACAATCGACTTTGATCATTTGGATGATTTGCATTTTCCGAATGAATAGAGAGAGAATAGATATATCAACGCACAGCTAGTTTGTTTGTTGTGCAATTTGTTATCGACAAGCAGTCAGACAAATATCTGTATATATATACAGATGTATAAATAGATACATATATTTGATATAGCTGCGCTGTTGTTGCTGATGATGCGAAAATAACAAAACAAATTTGTTAAAAACTAAAAATACATTTATAAAAAAACAAGTAGAATCTCGCGCGAGAGATACACTCAGAAGATACACAGATACATTTGCCTATGGCAATTGTTGCACAATCAACTTTTGGCTTCGCGACTCAGCGCGGTTTCACCTTGAAAAGCCGCAGAACCCCAATACCAATAGCAACAACAACAGCAACCTACAAAAAAAAACCTAAAACCGAAAGCCCAAAAGCGAAAATGTAAACAAATGTTGACAAACCAAACATTGAACGGTTTGGGCACGGAATGAGACACAAATCCGGGCCAGCATACCCGCACACCCGCACACACACACACACCTGCCTGTCTGTGTGCCTGTGTGTGTTTGCTACGCATATCTTCCGGCACTTAGTTTCGCTTACCGAATTGACCAAAACCGCAAGAGAAATAAATAAAAAAATCAGAAATGGAACCCCAAAGCGGAAATGCCTCTAATTTCAATATGGCCGTCGCCTCGTGACGTTTAACACAATTGCTGACACAATTTCCGAGATTTATTGCCAGTACACACACACACACAGACACACACACGCGCACGCACAGAGATAGCGAAATATGGCGGGCGAAGGAATTGCTGGCTGACGAGCAAAAAAATGAACAGAGGCAAAATAAATCAAATGAAATCGATGATTTTCCTTTTACCGTTATATTATGTCATGTCGTTTCGGTTAGGTAACAAGGGTTACCTGCATAGCCGCAACCGGAATTGTATTTTCGCGAACTTCTTATTGATAACAGCCAAGCAATTGGCCCCAGGGCTAAGAGCTCATCTGCATTTTGAGCTTGGCTCAGCTGCAGAACTTCATAAATGATGCGGAAGTAAAACAAAAAAGAGACAGAGAATGAGAATGAGAGAGAGGTAGCACTTGCGCCTTGGTTTCTATAGACAGCTAGCTGCCACGCCCCCCTCTCCTTGAAAAAACATAGCTTGCAAATTTTCATTTTGCTGTCAGAAAATGACAAATGAATTTTGAAATAAGCGCTCGTATCCGTCTGATTGTTTGTTTTCTCACCCTCTCGCCCACCCGCCCTGTCGCCCCCTCGCCCTCTTCCTCTTTGTTTATGTCTCTGTCTCTAATACCCTGCTTTGACTACAGCTCGCAGATATATAGACGGAACTGTGGTTTCTCTGTCTCTCGGTGCAACTGTGTGTGGGTTGGCAGACGGTGTCAATGATTGGCATTGAGCAGAAAGTTAAATTGATTTCAATGCAGCGCAATTGAAAAGCGCAGCGTTCGCTCGCTCTGTCGTTCGTTCGCTCGTTCGTTCGTTTGGTGACTGCGCCTGACATTTGCATATCGAATGGCAATTTACCGTTCCACTTGACAGATACTGCCGCACAAACGGAATGAGATGCATATATACATATATATATACACATAGAGACAGAGAGAGAGAGAGAGAGAATGAGATATTTAAGCACAAC